AAAGGCCTGCTTTTTTTTTAACTCTGCGTGTGAGAGTACGAAACCGCTGTTTACAGATCATTGGTCCTGCCTATATCAGCTGGTAGGGTCTTTTGGAGAACATAAATCTTGTCTGTATCCGCTGTCAGGGTTTCTCTAGCTTTTCAGATAGGAGATTTTATTGGATTTTGTTGAGGCACTAGGTACTGAACTTCGGACTTTTACTTTGCAAAGCTGTATTTTTTACGAGCGACAACCTCCTGGTGTTTCTGAATGTATACACAATCTGAGTATGACTTCTGATTACAAGGAAAGCAAGCAACGAGTTGTGTGGTAGATGCTACTGGCATACTGCTAATGATACAATAGAATAACCTGAGCTGAAAGGTGGTTGACTGGAATATGTCAAGGACAGAGTACTGACAGTTCAATCTCATTCATATCTATTCAGAAGTAGGTAACAATAAATTCAGTGGGATGAACTTTTTATTTATTTATTTATCAGATTTGTCACCGCCCATCTTGTGAAACAACTCTGGGTGGTTTACAACAAGATAAAAATCCATTAAAATACAAGATAAAAACAATCCTAAAAATAAATAAATTCCAAGAAGATAGAAAATTGACAAGTAATTCCAGGAGCATCATCAGGGGGATAACCACCCCCAGGGGCGGGTAGAGCCCATATCACTCCATGCACACTGACAGAGCCAGGTCTTTAAATCTTTTCGGAAAGCCGGGAGGGTAGGATATATACAGTAAATATAGATAGATTATGATGATGATTACATGTAATCAAGTTGTTGTCGACTCTTAGTGACCACATAGATAGATTTTCTCCGTGATGATCTGTCCCTAACCTCATCCTTCAGTTCTACAGTGCACCCATCGCCACTGTAACTAAATCCATCCATCTTGCTGCTGGTCGTCGTCTTGTCTTTCCTTCCACCTTCACCAGAATTAGAGCCTTCTCCAGAAAAAAATGCAGAGTTACAATTAATTTTGCCAAGAAGCTATGGACATCCTTGTCTGTACATGGTGCTTTGAGTTTATAGGAGACTTTAATTTTTTCTCAGAGCTCATGACTATAGGTGGTTTCCTCACACTTTTCTTTTTCTTGCAGTACTTGTTTATTTTGCTGTATTCCTTCTTGTCCCTTCAATAGAATTTGGCTTTTATGTTTTTTAAAATTATTATAAGCTGAGAGATGCAAATGTAATAGAAAGCAGGATGTAACAGTACAGCCTTGATTATATGCATGCATAAATAATGTGGCATAATAAAAGGAGTTATTAGATGGCTCTGCTATGTCCTAGCACACTGTATAGTACTTAGGGCTCTAAACTGCAAGATAGGCAAAAGCTGATGTAAAGAGCTGCATCTCATTTTGATACTTAGGTTTTAAGTGTGAAATGTGCTTCCTGTTTGGAGAGGGTTCTATTTTTTAGCACAAAGTACAGGAAAGGTGTACAGTTTAAGCAATACATATGGCTGTATTGCAAGGATCAAATTTCATTAGGGGCCTGAAAATTACACCTTCATGCCATATCTGTTAGACTTTCAGCTGACATAACTTCAAGGAAGATTACATGGATAAGTACAGCATACAGAAGCCCGAAGACTAAGATTGAAATCTTGTCCCTAGTTATCAGAAATTTAACCTCATTAATATCATTTGGACTTACTTTTGAATACTGTAGTAATGAAACCATGATGCAAAGACTTAAATCTGTTTTAATCTTTGTTAAAGAAATTAAGTTCTCCAAACTGCATGATGGCTTTAGATATTAATATATGTTAAGATTTATGATTTAACATGTGTATATTCATTTTTATATATATAAGGAAGTTTAGTTGTCTCACATAACTGAAAGACCACAGGGGAATCAGGAAGGTGAATTTTGGAAAGCACTTTTTCTGATTCAGATTTGAACTCTTATTCTGTGGTTTGAGAGTTAAAAAAAGGGGGGGAGTCAAATGCACAATTCTTATTTAAGGCTATGTAATAGTTTGTTCCAACTTTCCTCAATACAGTGCCTTCCAGATATGTTAGACTGTAGCTCCCAGAATTCCCAGAAACCTGCCAGGTCCTCCATCTCTGGAGAGCACAATCTGGAAAAGGATGCACCATGAAATGCCCACTCCCTCTAGAACACACTGCCTTTTGCAAAGAGTCAGATAAGGCATCATCTGGCCTTGCAGTTCCCAGTTCCAGCTAATAGATTGGCAAGGGATAGCAGAGCTGCGGAACTACAAGATGATTAACGAAACACAAGTATTCTGTCAAACTGGGCTTGTGGAATTCACTGCAGTGCTAGGATATATATTTATAGATGGTAATAACATTGCTTTTGAACCCACCACTTGCAGATTTCTGTGAATTAGATTTCAGATATATTGACCAGAAAGAGAAGATAAAAAACTAATATTCAGAAACAGTGAAACATGGGTTCATTTTACTTTGGCATTGCTAGTGATTTAGGTAACCTGTGTTTGTAGTATCCATCCTGTGGAGTCATATGCCTTTCCTTTTCTTAGGAACTGCCATTCCTAAGGACTAGATTGAGTCTTGCTAGACATTTTGTTCTGCTTTAGTAATGTTGATATTGCACAGTATGAGGCTTTTTACCCTTGTTTCCTGTCCCATACTGGGGCACTCATGCCAATGCCAGGCAAACTTTGCTCACAATGTTGCGCTGTACTGGGGGCAAAGGACAAAAAATCATCTTGGTAATCTAGTTTTAATCTTTAATCTCAAAGCATAGGAGAAGAGCTCTGCTTGTAGACTCAGATTTAACTAATTCTTTTTATCATCATTCACGTTGTATCACCTGCAGATAACTTACTGGTTAGTACCACTAGAAGACATTGTAATCCTAATACATCTTTCTCTTTTTCAATTTTTCTTTTATCAAAATAGAAGACCCAAAAGCCCAATAGTAAGGTATTTCAGAGTCCCTGTAATCCCTTATTTTAAAGTATGAAGTAGAATCAGTAGGAAGTAAATCTCAAAAATGAATGTAAAATTAACTTGTATGATCTTCTGTCCCACTGTTATTTATTTTTGTTCTTGATTGGAATCTTTCTTTATAGAGATGTATTACTGCTAGCTGTATTTATCTTTTATTCTTTTGGCTCTGCTCACAATCTTTCTTTCTTTCTTTCTTTCTTTCTTTCTTTCTTTCTTTCTTTCTTTCTTTCTTTCTTTCTTTCTTTCTTTCTTTCTTTCTTTCTTTCTTTCTTTCTTTCCTATGCAGTCATACACCAAAAGGGCAGTAGAACTACCATACATCACCTAAACAATTGTCAGTAGATAAAAAGAATAACAAATAAGAATGAATAAACAACAAGGATGTATGTATATATTTTTGTGGGTGTGTATGTGTATCAGTCAAGTTGCATTAGCCAGCATAGGTGTCAGTAGCCATTCTTGTTTCCTGATTACAGTTAAAATGGCACAAAATTTTGCAACTTTCATAGAGGTTCCATTGGAACAGGAAAAGTAGGACTTCTTATTGGGGCCATCTGCTGATGAAGAGGGGTGCTAGCTCTAAGTGCCAGATATGGTACGGAGGACATCTCAGGAAAACATGTGTGATCATCTCAACCTCTGTATTCAAGTAGATGCAAAGCATTCTTGAGAAGGAAAATAGTTGGATCTCCCTGGTAGTTATCAAATCTCACCAGGTGAACACTTTTTGTGTTTTAGAGATATTCAAAGATGACATAGGGAGTGTTGACAAAGCCTATATAGTGAGAATGAGAGGATTCAGAGAATTCATTTTGTACATCTGAATTCAATTCTCTCTGCTTAGCCTCAACCACACCTTTTTCTAAGACCAATGTAAGCAGAGTATGTGTTGAGAATCCACAGTAAACCAACTCAGAAGCTATTTGTTTCTTTCAAGAGAAGAGGTATAAGAATAAGCTGAGCTAAGGACTCAAACTCGTTTTAGTCAGCATTGCAGACCTCTACTGACACACAGCCAAGTTTTCACTAGAGAAATGAATTGCCAGTGAAGTGGGGGGCGTGGAACATGGTTCTAAGGAATTTGGAATTTGGTTCTTTCTAGCTCAGAAATGTCCTTAAAAGTGCAAAGCAATCCACCAGAGAGAAAAATGCTTAGCACCTTAATTTGAATAGTTTCACTACTGCTGGGACAGAATTATTGCCCTTGTAATTTACATATCTAATTAATGCATTAGCAGCTTTTTGTGCCTATATTGAGAGACTGGTGTCTTCACAAGGTAGAAGAAATACATACCTAGATGTTTAAAGGCCTTGACCTATTCAATTTGGTTATTGTTAGTTTTCCAGTTATGTAAACTGGTGATGCAGCACTTGGAGAAAACAGTTACCTTTATTTTGGAATGATTTCTAACTTTTCTTCCTGATATTATAATATAGTGCATAAGCATTGCCATAAATGTACTTGGGACACTGATAAGATGACAAAATCAACAGCATGTAGGAGTATGAAAACTGGGTTGAGGGTGGAATTTCACCCAAAAAAGTTATGCAATATTATTAATGTACATGTTAAAAAACAAATGGGCCAGAAAACATCCCTGCTTGATTCCCTTAAGAGTGGGGGTAGGAATGATCAGATCACCATTTTGCATGTATTTAAAATATAGAGAGATGCCTTCATAAAGTATCATTGTCATCTAGAAGGGGTGATGATCCATAGATGAAGCTGCTAATTTTCAGCAGAGCCTCTCATGGGAAATTGAGTGAAAAGCCACCTTCAGATTGATGAAGGAACATAAAGAGATTCCCTAGCAAAAGAAATTAAATGCTTTATTATTTCAGAAACACCAAATGGAAGAAAGATAATTCAGTATTTTTCTTCTTTATGCTTAGGGGAAAAAAATCACAATAAACCACTTTTACATTTTGAGCCCTAAGCAGTCTAGGTTACATTTGCAAATTATATATTTACATTGGACTATAAAATAGATTAGATTATGGTGATGGCATCCTTCACAAAGAACCTTACTTTTTTTTTTTCTTTTGTTAGCAGATTCTTCTGATTCCCGCAAAAAATTTTCTTTGCAGGACTATTTGAGTGATGATTTTCAGTACAAATCATATCAACTGCAGTGGGTGTCAGGTAATGACCCTACCCTTCTGGAATACCTCAGAGCTGTTTCATTTATACAAAATATATGTTAGAAAGAGCATGAAAGTTGTGTCCAAACATACAAGCTTTGGGAGCTTTGTTCATAACAGCTTCATGAGATTTGCTTACACATTGAAAAGTATACATTCTTCCTTAAACCTTTATGCTATTTAAATAAGAACTCATTGTTCAGCTAACCAAACACTAGCATGGCGAACCGCATACAAAATTCATCTAAACCAAGATATATTTGAGATAATTGGTCTGTGTTTTGCCTCTCATTCTCCCCAAAGCCTTGTAATGAGCTTTTATCCAATGGCCTGGTTTATTAGTTGTAGCCCTTTTTGCAGTGGGAAGCCCCAGCAACAGTGACACACACTGTTATTACCTCAGCACTGGATTAAAACTACCTAGAAACTGCAGTAGTTTGTGGCATCTGAGAGCTGCTTCAACAGTGGGACCCCTATATTGTAATCAGCACGCTGGTTGCCAGTATGTTCCCAGGTAAATTCAGGGTACTGGTATTGACCCATGAAGCCCTAGAAATAAAGTGTTCTCTAGCATGTTTGAGTTCATATGTGATAAACAGACTGTTTCGACAATAAACATAATGAATAATGCAGGATTTCTTGTTGGGTTTGGGGGGAGGTTGGTTTGGAGAGAAGGTTTGGTTTATTGGCACTGAATGTCTTCCTCTTTTCTTCCCTTTTTAGGTTATGAGTATGTCCACACAAATCAGAACAACGTTTTTCTCTACAATGTGGATGATGGAACAGAGTCTATAATCTTCTCAAATAGCACATTAGTATGTTTTTTAAAATATTATTTTACCCCTTCAAGAGAGCTCTGTATTGAACATTTCCTTCCTTACCCATAGCTGTTATATTACTAATATGTTTTCTTTGTATCAACAGGCCAGTTACAATAGTTCTGAGGCAATATTGTCACCTGACAAGAAATTTGCTCTTCTGCGACACGATTATGAGAAGGTAGCAATGATATTATACTTTTATATTCCACATAATCCATTTATATTGATAAAAATGGTTTTAATCCTTTACAGTATGGATTCACTCCGGCATTTAGACAGGGGAGGACTTGGAAGACCTTTTGTGTTTTTTAAGGTCTAGCCAATTCCTCCACAATGTACCAATTTCTGTTCAATTATTTTGCATTAGTAGTTATCTTGTGATTGATTTCTCACTCATTCCTAACTTCTTGGCACCTAACACAGTGGCTTTTCCAAACAACAGCAAATTAGTTATTCTGTAATAAAGTAGCACTCCCTTTTTATCACTATCCTTGTCTTTTCCTCCTTAATAGAAGAAGTGAGAGTGGCAAATATTGAAGAGAAAAAAGTAGTGGGAAAATATTGAAGAATTATAAGTATAAATGAAAGATGGTCACATCTGCTGCCCCTATAGAATGGTATGAATGATACAAAGTCTTGTCTGAAGGCATCCTGCGTGTGGAAGATACCCCACACAGTTGCTTTCCTCTGATGAATATTTTTAAAAATAAGTATAGTTCCATGTTCACAACTGTATAAAGTGTATTTAGTCTTACCTATAGTTTGGGAAAACAAGCCAACAAGCCGATTTTGAATTGTGATTTTCATAGTTTTATTCTAAAATGGGTGGAGATTTTTCTATTGGGGCTCTAAAGGCTAACTTAGTGATTAGAGATGAAGCAAGTAAGAAGAGGGTCAGATGGCTCTTATTGAAGCTCTGATTTGATTGCTTGAGGTGAGGTTTCAAGTTAATCGTGGCTTCAGGGCACAGGGTTGCCCACCATAGTTTAGGAGTTAGATAACACTGATCTGTTCTTAATTGAAAACAAAAGCAAATATTTCTGATTTCTCAGGGCACCTTTACATGACAGCTTTGCAACAGTTCAGAAGAAGCTCTGAACATGATCAATCTATTGGTTTATTTGAAATGGGAAGAGGGCTGGGTTTCCCTTTTGGAATACTGCAGTACTGAGGAGTTTGTGAGCAATGTGTTTCCTTTTTGGTTGGAAATTTTGCTTCATTGATTTCTGAGCTTAAGTCAACCATAATTCCCAGCCCCCCTCTGACCTAGTATTTCAGCATCCTGTCCTTGTGAGTAAGACCTGAGAATCTATTTCCCTTATTCCAGTCACTACGACTGCATGAAGCCATGGTTACTAGGGTTGTGCTGTGATCTGGATTTAAAAGGGAAAAAGTGAATTGGAATATGTATAGCTACATACATCATTCCTTAAATCATGTGTGCCTTTTCGTTGCACCAGGTAGAGCTGCAGCTTTTTCTGGCTGATAGATACAAGGTGTACATCATGCATGCTTCAAATCACATTTTCTTCTTTGAATCCAGAACATTGTACAGCTGTAGTGGTCACATCTTTTGAAAAAAACAGATACCTCAACTCTTAGTTTGTGTGGACAAATGCCCTCCATCTTGGCCCATGCCTTGTTGCAATCCACAACTCTCTCACGGATATTCCAGTGAGATACCTGATCCAGTCCATCCAGCATAGTCACTGTCAATTGGAAAGAATGTTGCAAAATGTTGACATGCTTTCATTTCACCTTCACCTAATATTTTCATCTATGTTCTAAATGCAACAAAGGAACAACACCTTTGTAGCCAGCTTCCCATCACAGAAATTGCCCAGAATATTTTTGAAATACTATAACCAACCGGTATTGAAAAAGAAGATTGTGTGTGGGAGTGGTAACTATTTATTTGACTTTTGTGTAAACTTGAAATAAGGGGATTTTTCTTGTTCTGAGATCTATGGCAGTTTGGGGAAGGGTGTCCCTGACTGGATATCACTGATCCTATTGGTCGGTTGAAGGTGAGCACTGATTGGCTGCATGTTATCAGAATTCCAAATGTAGGGTAGAAATGCCCTCAATGTGATTGTGGTAAGAGAAAAGAGAGCGCATAATCTTGAGGGTTTTTTTTTTTATGTCATGATAAATGTTGGTTTAGCAGTATGACTGAATATTATATGGCAGACCTCAGCCACACACAAGGACTGATATTTATTATTTGAAGTCTTTATTTCTAGAAAGTACCAAGAGGTCTGAGATAAAGTATATCTGCAGCACTTGAATTTTTTTTTTATCATGATCTTATTATCATTGTAGATAAAATTCATGCAAACAGGACCTCTTAAAATACTAACTTTGAACTACACTCTTGTTTATTTAAGTATTTTTATTTATGTGCAAATATTACTTTTGCAGGTGTGGAGGCACTCATATACTGCATCATACCATATCTATGATCTAGATAAAAGGTCAGTAACTGAACTGTCTTCTCTTAATGTTTTAATGGCTTACATTATATTGATATTTTTCTTTATGTTTCCTTCATAGAACCTTAATAACTGAGAATCCACTTCACAAGTCTATCCAGTATATATCCTGGTCACCTGTTGGACACAAACTGGTTAGTAAAATGCATATAGTCAAGGCTTACTTCGAACACCAGTTTAGATATTCCTGTGCCCTATTTCTATAACCAAAACTTCACTGTCCATGCAACAGAAATTAGAAATTTCTCAAAAATCTAGGGGAAAAAAAATCCTGTAAGAGGGGATGGGAATTCTCCAGAATTTTTATATAAGGGCTCCAGTTCATTTAACTAGATAAAATGTTAAATATACAGAGAACTGGTGCCGTACATATTTTTCTTTACAGTAAATGTGTAGAGGTCCAGTTCAGACTGAGGCCACTCAGGGGTGGGGGGTGAAGCTTAATTTTCTCTTGGCTCCTTATTTTTACAAGTCATCACACACAGATTTTTTAAAATCATCAATTTGTGAAATGATAAGTCTTGAGTTCCCAGCTTAGGCAGAGTGAACTTGATCTGAGTTGGGCCCTAATTCACTAACTTTCTAGATTTTTAAAAAATGGTAAGGTAGCTGCATGCTAAATATTTATTATGTGGTTTAGCCCTCAATGTCCTGGAATATTGACTGAGAAAAAAATCCACCAACAACTGGTTGAATGGGGAATAGCAGGAGAGGGAAGAAGACAGCTAGTCTAGGAAGTTTGGAGTCTTACATCTAAACATGTGAGGGCAATCTAGCTGCAACATTGTCACCCCATTGATCATCAGGGTTGATTTGGCTTTTCTGGCTGGTTAGGAGGGTGTCCTTTGCCTCCCTCACTGCTCCATGTACATCGCTCCTGAAGCTGCATACTTGATGGAAGAGGACCACAACCCCAGCTAGAAGGAATGTACTGATCTTCGGTCAAGGGTATACAATAGCTGCACTCCCCTGCTAGAACCTCCAAACATTTAAACATCATGCTGCAAAGTTATTTCAAAATATTTTGAGGGGCAAACGTGAGAAATCAGTGGAGAAAACAATATTTTAATGTAGATGGAATTGGGCAAAAGTCATTTCCAGATCACAAAATGGAAAAGGTAAAACTGAATCCAGGAAGAACCCAGGATCTGGAGTAAGCATTGAAAGTTGACTGAATGTTGGAGGGAAACAAAAGCCAGTGGTAGGGAGTATGAATGGAATGCCTGGAACCCTGAATATGGTTGAAATTAACAGCATAATCCCTATTGAGTTTTGCTGGCTCAGGGTTTAGGTAACAGTGTTGAGAGTTCCCAGGACTGATTAGACGAAATACAGCATTCTAGGTCTTTCTTGTGAACCATTCTGATATTCTCTTTATTCTTAGCCTAACAAGGGTTTTTTTTAAAAAAAGTTAGATAATTAAATGGGTGAGAAGGATCTTACAGCCAGCATAAAGAAATCTCCATTTTGGGATTGATGTGTCTAGAAATACATCAAATGAAAGAAAAGATAAATTGTTTGATATAAAGTAAGGGTTATGAAGTCATTTTCTGATGGTAAATACTGTAATGTTTGTTTGTGGCAGGCTTATGTTTGGCATAACAATGTTTATGTGAAAACAACACCAAATGCCGAACCTGTTGCAATCACTAAGAATGGAGCTGAAAACAAAATTTCAAATGGATTGGCAGACTGGGTGTATGAAGGTAACTATCATTAAAAGGAATAAAAATCCAAACAACAACATACTACCACCTCATACAAGGAACAAAATATTAGGGTTATATAATCCACTGGTTAAATCCACTGCTTGGAACGGGGGTGGGGGTGGGGGGTGAGGTCTCCATCTTTGGAAGGGACATGTAGCCTTTCTAGCTTTCAAGACCCTTTCTATGCCTTATGAGTAGCCACAGAAGACACTTTGCGTCAGAAACAACCCCAGTGAACACGTCGTCCGAACATGGGCTAAAAAGACCAAGAAAGAGCCTTAGAACGTTGAACACTTTTCAAAGACATGGCCCCCTCAGTGTTTAAAGCAGCAACTCCAGCACAGTGTTTTGCTTATTCTGAGAAATGTCCTTCCACATGGCTTATGAAATTTGTCTTGGTTTTAATTGATAGTGGCTATATTTTGATAATAACTATGGTTCGGCCTAAAATGGATATATTGAACAAGTCTTAGTCTCATATCTTACCTTCTCCTCTTTTCTCCTTTATTTACACATGGTGATAGGTAGGGGTTCAGAAGTATCTGCTTCCAGGCAGTAGAAAATCTTTGTTTTGTTTTTTTCTGGAATAACAACAGCAACAATACAATCCAAAGTCAGACAGAAGTATTATAATCAAAATAGGCAAGAAAAAGAAATATATGTGTGATAAACCACAGCTAAATTTTTTTGATATAATTATTATTAAATACATGTTTAATAAAGTAAAAACCATAAGAGAAAATAAAGATAATAAAGAAGAATAGTAAATAGTGAGAAAAGAAAATAGAAATAGGAAAGAAAAAGAAAGAAAAGAAAGATTATGAAGAAGCGGCTTCCAATCTTCTTGACAGTGGTTATAAGTACATTTTTACTTTGCCCTTTCTCTCTAAGGTTACATCATAACCACAGCTGAATGTTTGACAAGGAATACAGTGTTATTACCTCTGCAGTATTATGCGTAGTCTATGTCATACATACATAATCAGGAGACACAATTTAACGTTGTTGCCAATTTTTCCAGTGATCTGCCCTTCCTCCTATATTCTCTATGAAATAACCCACATAAATTGGTCAAAGGGGATGCGGTGGCGCAGCGGCTTAATGATGCTGAAAGTTGCCGGCCAGAAATGGTCGACG